GCAGTTTCATTTGCTAAGTTCTATTTGCTGGTGATCTTAATCCAAAGGGTGTGCCTATATTAAAAGAACTTGTGCCATAAGTTATCTATGGAATTTTTGGGTATCTTTGCATGTTGAATCCGGAAATTGGAATAATAAGATTTTTATGTTAAATGCAATGAAAACAGTTTGTGATGGCTTTTGATTGGAAATCATGAATTGACAGTTTTATTTGATGGCAAATTCCTTAAAGAATTGTATCGCTAATTTTTCATTGGAATAAAATACAAAAGCAGATATGGAATGCGACATTATTATGTCATTTGTATAAACGTGAATTCCAAATAGTGAATTTATTTGGTGAATCCATACAAGAGTTTGGATAGACTTTTTGTTAGCATATGCAAATCCGGTAAGCGGCATATACGGTAAGTCGCATATGCGGTAAATTGCATATATGGTATGCGTCAATCCGGTAAGTGACATATATGGTATGAAGTTGTAAATCCGATATATGTCCATGGATTTTGGTTTGAAAATTATACAAACCTTGATTAATGATGATAGCCTCAATTAATTTCATGAAATTAAATGAGATGACTTATGCAAAATTATAGTTGCATAAGAGTACGACAAAATGTGGTTTTGTCCTAATTATTTTAAAGTGAAAATTGCTTGCCCAATTATTAGGATATAAAAATAGTTTATAGAGCACAAATTGTGGAACTGGCAGTGGTGCCGGATATCCTTAAAAATAATAATTGACAAATGACATTCATTTGTAAAGGATAAAAACTATGTTATGCAAAAATTGTGAAGAATGTTATGAAATATTCTATGATTAATTTCAAGAGGTATGTCCTTTTATAAGGTTGTGACTTTGAAAGCACAACTTGTCAATCTATGGTTGATTTATTCTTTCAAATGTGAATAAGGTGAAATGTACCTTATTATTTGATGTGAATAATATTATTTGTGAATTATCACAAATGTGAAAGTTTCACATGGTTGAAGATGCTTATTCTTCTTCATTATTGAATTTGATTTCAATAGTGGAACCAATTAAGTTGATTTATGACGACCTTAAAGATGACCTAAATTTAATTTGGATGATCAAATTAATACGGTTGATTGAAGTACAATTTCGAATGGAAAATGATTTTTCATTCATGTGAAGTAATGACCACTATTTTAAAAGTATTTAGACTTTCACCAAGCATCCGATATGGATATTATTTAAGTGATAAATGAATTGAACTATGAAAGAGATGATAAACTCTAAGTTCAAGAATAATCCAAAAATGTGGGGGTTATCATAAATGCTTGAGAACTTATGTGGAAAGTTCAAGTCGTGTGGGTACAACGCTACTACTTGGATATATAACCATAATTTAGGAATTGTGGGGTAACTTAATTTAAAGTTACACTTTTCTGTATCTCTCAAGAAAATGGAAGAGGCACCATATGAGTTATGAAAATGTCATCCTCCTTCCTACCAACATTTAAAAGTGTGGGGGTGTTTGGCAAAGGTTGAGGTTCTTAAGCCCAAACAAATAAAGATTGGTCCCAAAACGATTAATTGTATATTTATTGGATACGCCAATAATAGTAGTGCATATCATTTCCTCGTACACAAATCGGATGT